CCGCCCAGGGCGGACATCAACGACGTCTTGCGAGCTTTGGCCACGGAGGCGGGATGGATCGTGGAGCCCGACGGCACAACCTATAGATCCCAGGTCAGTCTCTCATCGCATCGATCCAATGCTGGATGGATCCAATGTGTTCTTCCATCTTCTCTGTTGTTCTTCCTGTTTAGTTTCTCTAGGCCGTGAGCATTCGTACTCGTCCTTCCGGATTTTTTTCTGTGCTTGCTTTTGTACTCTTTGTTTATTCCTCGTGAAGAGTTCTAGAGCGGATTTGTCTGGGCGTTTTTTTTTTTTTTTTTCCCCTTCTAACTCTTGGTTTTTTTCCTGCAGCAATCACAAGCCGGGCAATCAGGAGCTGCGACGAGCCTCGGTGGCGCTGCCTCGGGCAGCGGAGGACTAGCCGGCATTGTGGGCAACAATGGCGCTTGTTCTTCCGGAAGGCCGAGCTCTCTCACAGCGACGGCGACGACGACCACCACCACTGGCGGCGGAGGCCAGGGTGGCGGCGGAGCCACCGCCACCACCACCGTCACCACCAGCAGCATTGGCGGGCTTCTTTCGGCAGGACCCAACAACAGTCTTAGCAATCTCATGGGCTCGAGTGTAGGGGCAGCGGCGGGATACACGAGGCTGCTGGCGGATCTAGCAGCGGCGGACGCTGGCCGGGCCGGGGATTGCTCCACCACCGCCTCGCCGCGCCACATTGGAATTGGAGCGGTCCATCACGGCTCCAACCTCTCGTCGCCCTCGCCATACGTGTCCCCGGCTTCCAGCGAGGGAGCGGCGGCTCCTCCTCGCATCAACACGTCCTCGATCCTCTTCGGTGGCAATGCCGCCAGCAATCAATTCGCGGGATTTCTCGACAGCAGCAGCAGTGGCAGCAGGGACTGCGTGGTGTCTTCGCTCCATCCGCATCTCAGCAACCTCTTCCCCAGCTCGGTAGTCGCGAGCGCCGCCGCCGCCGCCCAAGTTCCCGCTATCAAGGAGGAATTCTGCTACTTCCCGGAGCAGCCAGACCAGAATTGCCAGCACCAGTTCATGCTCCAGAGGCAGCAGTCGTCCATGAGTCATGTCTCCAACATGATCTACAGCGCTGCGCAGCAAGGACAACTGCGATCATATGGTGCTGGTTTTGGCGGGCATTGCTCCTCGTCTTCCAGGTCCCAGGCTCAAATCCAGCAGCACCAATTGCCGCCATCACCAGCTTTGGTTCATCATCAACAGCAACAGCAACAGCAACAGCAGCAGCAGCAGCAGCAGCAGCAACAGCAGCAGCAGCAATTGCACTATCCTTTCTTGCAAGAATCCAAAGCTTCCAATGACAACACACCTCTGGGATCCCCACAGCCACACAACACAGGGTGCTGACTTGGTGAACAATGTATGCACATCATATACTACATATGAGGCACAGAGGTTTTATCTAGGCCTGCTTTTTCTTGCTAATCAATTGCATTGCATCCATCACTGGAATGTTGACATCGCTTCCAATTTTACCATGGTTGAGGTGGTAAGAAAATCAGGATTTTGAGGCTTTTCACCACTATAGCTCTCTGGTGCCACTGGCAGCAGTGGCAGCAACAGGGTCAAATGTGGAAAATGGAGGGGAAATACCAGTTAAGAATCTCTGCTCTGGCTGGTTCTGCCCTGAAACCTCATAAATATTAGCCTGTGATGATTGTGAATTATTTCCTGACAACTAGATTTTCTCCATCCCAAGATTTATTCCCAAAAATTCCATCACAATATTTTAAAAATTTGAGTGCAGAAAAAGGTGGAAACGTAAAACTATGTTCAATGAATCATAGCTAATTAGTGATGGTTCATCTTTTGAAACAAACAACCACTCTTGGAAATGCCTATCACCCATTAAGAAATATATGGTGGTGGATGCAAGTACACGTCCGTACGCTTCTTGTACAAGGATATGTGGGGCGCGATGGAATATTGTACAACCTACGATGAAGTATTGTGTTCGGCGACTGTACTCTCCTATTACCTAGATTACCAGGAAGAGCTGCAGCAATTTCATACATACAATTCATACCATCCTACATGGCACGTACGGACATACAAAAGCCACGTCAGAGAAAATGGCGCGAAGCCCGGTAAAAACGGATTTGACGTTGACCCGCGCATAGTGTGAAAATCGGTGTGGATCGGCGGCGTTCTTCCGTTTCCTCGGTCCTTATCGCGGAGTAAAAATATGGCTTTTACTGCGCCGGACGCCGGACAGTAAAGAAAGACACCGTCCCCAGGCCGAGCGCCGAAACTGCCAATTACACGATTTTATTGTGGCCATGCCAGCCTCGCATTTAATTATTATGATTGATAACGT